TTCCTCAATTCATGTCATTTAAATCGTCAGTTATAGACGTCAGATCAAAATCTCTCTTGCTGGACTTGGAAAATAGTAGTAAGTCATATCTGATTCACATCAATGTTCAGTGTTTCTTTCGTCCCTGTTGATTTTGAATTTCATGTCTAATCTGTCATCATATTTGGACTTGAAATCCACTAAGATAGAATTGGATATACATTTTAAGTAGTCTATCCCTCGTCATATTTGGACTCGATATCCACTAATGATGAATTGGATATACATTTAAATAATATATCAATTTAATTGGAAGAATTATTGTTAGTGAAAAAATTAATAATTTTTTTAAAACAAATAGTTATACAATAAAATAATAAATATATAAAATTTTCTATATTCTTATCATGAAATCATAAAATAAATGTTCAGCAAATAATTAATAATATAATTATTATTAATTATATTAATAATACAATTATATCCGGGTTGAATGTTTTCACTTGTGTTGTCAACTTCGTTGTATACTAGGTTGGTAATGTAGCCTTACCCAAAGTATAACATTTAAAATGAATCAAAGTAAAACATTTAAAATGAATTGCTATGATATAAATTGATTGGTGGGTTGACTATTTGATTGTAACGCTACCTAAAATTTCAAAAAACAATCCAAGTCTCAAAAAGGTTCTAGCAAAATCAAGGCACTTGCCTCTTTCTACATGGAAAATCCAGAAACAAAATTACCCATGGAGAAAAGAATTTCGTATATTTATATGGGAAGATAATTTTTTGGCTTTGCCTCGCAGTTACCTAATATTCTCTCGGTTTTGCTATGAAGCCAATAGTTGGCTCCATAGTGGAGCCAACTTTCCATTATGGAGCCAACTGTTGGCTTCATAGCAAAACTGATATTCTCTAATTACCCCTCGTAGAATTGCAACTTAAATTCCCGCCAACATGAAGCAGAGCCTAAACGAGACCGCGGATTGTGTTTCTAGATAAATATGTTCGGCTTCGTATTTCGATTATTTATTTCATTTTATTATTGATCCCTTTATTATAATTATTTTCTTAATTTATATTTTTATTTCATTTTATTATTGATCCTTTTATTATAATTATTTTCTTAATTTATTTTATTAATTTGGTAAATAAATAAATATCTGGCCTAACTATCTCGCCTAGCTTGATTATTAGGACTCTATATAAGTTTGGTAAGTATATAAATATCTTAGCCTAACATTTTAGGCAAGATAAATAGTTTGTTAGGACTTTATACAAGTTTGGTAAGTAAATAATAACTTGTTAGTCAAGATAAGTAGCTTGTTTAAGACTTTATATAAATTTGGTAAGTAAATAAATATCTGGCCTAACTTGTTAAGCAAGATGAGTAGCTTGTTAGGACCCAATATATTTATTTGCTTTCAATCATAGTCAATCGGTTTTTTAGTCCCATCTGATCTGATCATCCATTATATGTGAGCCTAACTCAACTCTCCAAGCTTGAAAGTCCAAACAATTAGGCATTCCCATGAAATCATATGACAATCAACTGACAGTCTCCAAAAGCATTAATGACAATCGAACAAAGAAAGAGTAAACATTATATATATATATATATGCTTCATCAAAATATCAACAAAGCATTCAAAACCAAACTCAAAATTCTAGAACACCAGCAGCAATAATATCCCATATCCAATTCAAACGGAGTCGGAAAAAGAAATAAACAAAATCGAAAAAACATCTTTTGTTACTCGAAACGCTAAAAAACTTAATTAAGCCTTGTCACCTTTAGCAGAAGTGACGGCAGCTTGACCACGCAAGCGACCAGTCCTCCTGGCAGCAAAAAGACCAACCTTCTGGCCAGGTGGCGCATCACGACGGACAGTGCTAGCATGACCAATGTGCTGATGATTACCACCACCATGAGGATGGTCGACTGGATTCATGGCAACACCACGCACCTTAGGCCATGAGTTCCTCTTCACTCTGAACTTGTGGTATGCATTTCCAGCCTTCAGCATTGGCTTCTCAGTACGCCCACCTCCAGCAATCTGTCCAACCATTGCCCGGCAGCCGCTCTGCACTATTTTCTTGGCTCCTGAAGGTAGCTTAATCCTGTAAACAAAGTTTTATTCATATGGTGTTAGATTATTTACACAGTATATAGCTTGGGGGAACAGACTTGAATCTAGAAACAAGTTGGATTATGAACAAAATCAGATATATTTTCTTGGCTCCTGAAGGTAGCTTAATCCTGTAAACAAAGTTTTATTCATATGGTGTTAGATTATTTACACAGTACATAGCTTGGGGGAACAGACTTGAATCTAGAAACAAGTTGGATTATGAACAAAATCAGATATAGACTTCCTAATGAAGGATTAATGGATTGAATTGGCAGAGAAAACTATGACATAGCATACTTCATGTTTAGTTCAGGTGTAAAATTAGTAAAAAAAATTCTAGCATCTGAGAACCATCTTCCCATAGCAACTGGGAATACAATTTCCGAACAAAAAACATTAACAAAATCATGGGGTAGAGAAATAGAACCAACATCAATGATGAATCACTCTCATTGACAGAAACACTATAAGAGTCTCATAACTATAAAGTTGCTAGAAAGATTCCTTGTACAACAATATCAACAAATGCTTTAGTTGATTGAAAGGGAAAGCCTGTGCAAATGCCAAAAAACAGAATCATGCATAGCTAAATTTGTTAGCAGATATTTAACTCAAGATCAACTTCAAATCCATGTTTTATCAACCCATACAGCATAGCATGAGGGTTCTATAGACAATGGAAAATCCCGTGTAATTTAGATGATTTCATGTTCGCAAATTGTGCATCAAACAAATATTTGGGAATATAACAATATTATACACGTACATGACTAGAAACGCCCAAGTTTTCCAAATTAAAGGCAGTGCCAAACCTTTACACCTTCTCAACAGATGCACCAAAAGTACCAGATAATGGACGAGTGCTAATCAGACCAAATTCAATAATTTGCCATGCATATATTACCTGGAAGTGTCGTTATCAGGATTGTGAGAGATGACAATAGCGTAGTCCCCAGAGGCCCTGGCGAAAACACCACGATCCCCGACGTGATGCTCGACGTTGCAGACGACGGCGCCCTCCGGGATAGACCTGAGGGGCAGCACGTTGCCGACGACGAGATTCGCCTTCTTGCCGCAGTACACGAACTGGCCGGTGTACATGCCCTCGGCGGCGACGAAGAGCTCCTTCTGGTGCTTGTAGCGGAAGGGATGGCGGAAATCGACGCGCGCGAGCGGCGCGCCGCGGCCGGGGTCGTGGATGATCTCGGTGACAACACCCTTGAGGTAGCCGTTGCGCTCGCCGAAGTCGAGGGAGCGGAAACGGGCCGGGCCCTTGCGGTGGTGGGTGTGGGACTTGAAGACGGAGCCTGCTCCCTTACGCTGCCCCCGAATTACACGACCCATTTGCGGCGGGTGGCGGTGTGTGGGTTTGTGGTGGAGGAGGAGAGACGGTAAGCAATGAGTTGAATGAAAAGTTTATGGTGGTGAATAAATATATATAGGGTTTTAAAGATAGTTTTTTGGGGATTGAGGTTTTGCGCCGCGTTTTGCGCCGTAGGGTTTTTGGTGGGTAAATGGGCCTAAATGAACCGAACCTGGTATTGGGCAACTTTTTAGCATTCAAATTCGTTTGGGGACCCAACGTTGTAATGGGCTGTGAAGTTTCTAATTTCATGAAACTATTGCACCCATATAACTTGGCTTTTTTATTATATTTTTTTAACAAACAATAATATTGTTATTAATAAATAAACATTAATAGAGAGATTCATTTCAGGGTAAAACTACGCAAGGTTCAATAGGGCATTAAACTAAATAAAATACTAAAGTTCAACTAAATGAAAAATAATAATGGAGATTACATACAGTGAATATTATAAATTATCATGGCATCAAACTGTTCGCTTCAATAACAAAAAAGAAAAAGAAAAAAAAAACAAATACAAAATACAAGAAGTCGAAAAAATACAAAGTAGATAAATAATATTTTCCTATCTTCAGACAATTCACCACCACGGCTAACCCAACAATATCTCCATTGTTTACAATCACTGATATGTCCACGGAGATATCAAACACAGTTTTAACCACAAGTTAGCCACACACCCCTTGATCGATTTACTGGAGTTGCAGGAGGTGGGGGCCTGATTAGGGATCATAGCGGCGCCCTTATCGCCGCGTTTCATGCCTCTCTTCGGGCCTCTTCGAACTATGACGCAGAGGTTCAGGCGCTTCAAATCGGTCTGCAGATTGCCGCCTTGATCTCCTCTCACATTTGGATAGAGTTGGACGCAGTCGCTATCATCACTCTTCTGTCATCAGGACATCAGGGTACGTGGCAGATCCAACACCCTCTCATGCGCATCAGAGTCACTCTCCAGACGATTCGCTCCCAGATCTCGCACATCTTCCGCGAGGGGAACCGGCCAGCTGACTTTCTCGCTGGCATCGGGTGCTCCATCCCCCGCAGACGCATTCTTTATCCTGACGGTATTCCTATCCGCCTCTGCACCCTCATACGGATGGACCAGATGAGATACCCCTCATTCAGATTTGTGTAGCCGGACCTACATTTTGGCGCACCCGCCACACTGTGATGCTGACTTTCTAGCCGGGATTCTAGCCTGGAACATGATCTGTTATTTTCATATTTATCGCTGCAGTTGTTAACTTTTTCTCTGTATTTTTTCTTTTTTTTTTCTTTTTTTTGCTAATGTCATCATATTGAATCATGACATCTTTTATAGATAAAACTAAAATTACACTCTTTTCAAATTTTAAAGTTCCATTAACTACCACAAACTTTTCATTTTTTCAAAAGAAAAACTATTCCACATTATTTTCGTCTAAGACATTACAATCATCAAAGGATAAAATTAATAGGCAACCTCCCCAAAATCCAAAATTCTCTATATCTGTAATATATTCATCATCACAATCAAAAGAGTCCATTAATTAGAACTTTACATATTTGGGGATCATAACGTGTAAGCAAAAGGCTAAGTTTGCTTAAGAGGCAGCCAAACCAGAAACCACCACTACTTTGTAACCGCTATAAAAATGCTCTCGATTGAGTCACTATTAATTACCAGTCCAATTTTTTCTTGGCGTCCAAAATTAATCTTCCATCATTTCACACCCCCAAAAAATGTAAATGCCCAATAATTATATTTTTTATACCAACACAAATTTCTTTTTCTCAACATAAATATTTTTTTTTTTTTTTTTTGACCAAAACCCAAACAGTTTTCTGTTTCCTTCAAATTATTTATGATCAAACAACTCGTGTAATGGAAATCAGACTTTTAGTGCTCTTATTTTCTTTGGTGGTATTTCTTGTGGTCAAATGTGAATCCATAAGCCGATCCGATTTTCCTGACGGCTTCACTTTCGGAACCGCTTCATCAGCTTACCAGGTTAGTTAACTTAAACCATAGTTAGCTTTACTAATTCTTGATTTTCAATGTTGATTTTCAAGGGATGATTGCATTTTGGCCTTACATTTGTTCTTCATTTTGCATGCCTATCTAAGAGCCCTCGCAGACAATTTCTTATTTGAATATTTTACTAATTAATTTGCTAAACTTAATACCAAAAAAATGATAGAATTTGGAGGACAAATTGTGACTAAATAACCGTATGATTAATTTTAATCAGTTTGAAGGAGCAGTTAATGAGGGGAACAAAGGAAAAAGTATATGGGATAGCTTCACCAGGCAACCAGGTTGGTGGTGAATGGTCTTCTCTTACAAGAATCGACAATGCCAAATTAAATTTAATTAACTTAATCAATAACCCTTCTTTTTTTCAATTTTTATTTTTCTTNTATTTTTTATTATATTAATTCTATTTTTTTTTTTAAAGGCGGATACATTTGTTCCTTCCCTTGTTTGGCGTTGCCACGTGTACAAGCCAAATGTCAAAAGGAGTCCTTCATTTGAAAAATAGTAAATGCCAAAATTATGGATAACGTATATTCGGGAAGAGATAAGAATGCGAGGACTCTCGCAAGTTATAAAAGATATTAGCATTATGACATTCGTGCAATGTATATGACGACAGGAGCACTAAATAGTGAAGATGAAAGAAAAGGAAAAAGAAAAACTGTTAAATGGCACCATAGCAAAATACGTACATGTTTTTTCAATTAGGCAAACTCATGATACCATGCAAATTGGAATTTTAGTTTGATACTCATCAGCTTCTCCATATTACCACGTAATAAAAAATAAATAAATTATGATGGCAAATTCTGAGTACACAACACTGTTTAGTCAATTTTAGGTATCACTTTTCCTTAGAGTGAAATGGATGACCTCATATGATGACAGGGTGACATAGACTTGATGAAGGACTTGGGCATGGATGCTTATAGATTCTCCATCTCATGGTCAAGAATCTTGCCAAGTAAGAATCTTCATTAGAAAACCCAGCATAACTGTACAATAAAATTCAGACACCTTATAATTTCCAGGCAAGCTCTAGAACTTATTTCTTTAGAATGTGCAACATTGAACAGATGGTACAGGGGAGCCAAATCAAGAGGGAATAGATTACTACAACAACCTAATAGATGCTTTACTAGAAAAAGGTTCGATTATAAAAAACTATTATCCAAAATTTATTACACTGTGAAATAACTTTTAGTTATACTCACCAGATTCTTTGTCCTCACCTCTTTAAGGAATCCAGCCGTATGCGACTTTATATCATTGGGATCTTCCACAGGTGCTTGAAGATAAATACGGAGGGCTTTTGAGCAGCCAAGTTATGTACGTTCATTTATATATTTTAATCTTCTTATTCTTCTTTCATTGACTAAGATTTTTCTAAGACCATTCTTTACTCATACAAACAGAAAGGATTTCGAAAACTACGCGTGTATCTGTTTCAAAGCATTTGGGAATAGAGTGAAAAATTGGATAACTTTCAACGAGCCTCATGGCATTGCAATCCAAGGTTATGATTTAGGAGTTCAAGCTCCCGGAAGATGCTCGATCCTCGGACATTTAATCTGCAAAAATGGAAATTCCTCAATTGAACCATATATAGTAGCTCATAGCATCCTATTGTCGCACGCTGCTGCTTATCACAAATATCAGAAATATTTCAAGGTATATATACGAGTAAAAATTGATCATATTATCTTTAATTCAAGAAGATACTTTATAAGTTTTTTCACTAATAATATATTGTTAATTATAGGGAAGCCAAAAGGGAAGAGTTGGTATAGCATTAGATGCGAAGTGGTACGAACCATTCTCTAACAAGGACGAGGATATAGATGCTGCAGGCAGAGCCTTGGATTTCGCACTCGGATGGTAAAAAAGGAATAAAAAATTGTTGAACTTTGTAAATGTTTCTTATTAGAAAATAAAAACATTGGTTTTAATTTACTATATAAATCAGGTTTCTTGATCCACTTCTACTTGGGAACTACCCTCTTACGATGCGGAGGCTTGTAGGTGATCGGCTCCCGGAAGTGAAAGCAGAGCAGTCAAAATTCTTGAAGGGGTCCCTCGATTTTATAGGCATAAATCATTACACGACATTATATGCACGTAATGATAGAATGAGAATACGTAAGCTCGTACTTCGTGACGCGTCATCTGATTCTGCTGTAATAACCACATGTAAGATACCAAAAGGCGTAGCCTTTTACTTTCAGTACACTTTGCATTCATATTGTCATTAAAGTTTTAATATTGTGTTATATGATGACTACAGCTGTAAAACATGGAATTCCCATTGGAGAAAGAGTAAGTCTTCGCTAGACAAACCCAAAAAAAGAAGATGAATTGAAAGAAAATTTTGCAGTAGAAAAAGTATTCTTACTTTTTTTTTTTTTNTCTTTCTTTTCAGTCCGCGTCTCGTTGGCTGCACATTGTTCCGTGGGGCATTCGAAAGTTGGCAAACTACATCAAAGATGAGTATGGAAATCCACCTGTAATTATAACAGAAAACGGTAATTAATAAGATTCTTTTTTCCTCTTTACAATGCCAGAATCTCAAATTATTGCTTACCTCATGCAATATTTCTATTGAATCCAGGAATGGATGACCCTAATAGATCTAACTTGGACTTGCGTGAGGCTTTGAAAGACGAAAAGAGAATACGTTATCACAGAGATTATCTCTCGAACTTGTCAGCTGCTATAAGGTGCTAGTAGTAAGCTGTTTTAAGCAATTTTTTGTTATCCATAAAGTATTTGAAGCAATTATGTAAACTTCTTTCAGGGAAGACAATTGTGATATTCGGGGCTACTTCATTTGGTCGTTGCTCGACAACTGGGAATGGAACATGGGATATACTGTTCGGTTCGGACTTTATTATGTGGATTTCAAGAATAACCTCACCAGGATACCTAAATCCTCTGTCAACTGGTTCAAAAACATGCTAACATCAAAAGACGTGTGAAGAAGGCGGTAAAACTAAAACCTTAATGTTAGTTATAGATCATAACATCTGTACGTGATGTGTTGTACGAAAGAAAAACATAATATATAAGCGATTCTTTAACTTTTCTTACAACCAGAGCTTTTAGCAAATACAACTAAGGCCGAACTATAAGCCGCATTTCTCTCAAAGGCAGGGGCGGATCCAGAACTATTTTTTGGGGGGGACTGAAGCTGTTTTCCAAATAAATTGTTTGTGAACATAATCGATTTGACAATGAAAGTTTCACCTCATCTTGTTGATATGTAAACGATTCCTCATCTTGTTAATATGTAAACGATTGAACAATTAACTGAATTTGTTTATTAAATGAAACGAGCTCAAGCTAACATTTTTTTTTTATTTATTAAATGAATAAAGCTGAGACGGTTCATTTATTAAACAAACACGAGTTTGATCATGAGGTATTCGGCTTGACTGAACTCCAATAACACCTTAGAGGGAATATATAATTTTTAATATATCACACATTTATATAGATATAAAACATAGAATTGTATTATAAAATGGATAAAATAAATAATAAATATGCTCTACAAAAGACGACATAACATTTCAACTTTGATATTTTAAAATTGTGTTAAACATTATCTCAAATCACGAGACCCATCAACTATTGACTCAATACTAATAGTTCTTGCAATTTTTTATTTGACTCCGTGAAATTACATACCACTCATGCTCTTCTATTAATAATTTCTTTTCAACCATCTCTTATATTCCATTCAATTAAGCTCTATAATATAAAAGGAAAAGCAGCAAATATTACAATTGAAGAGAGTGGAAATTTACTTGAAAGATGTAATGTAGTTATAAAGGATTATTAGATGTCCATACTAATAATTAGTAATAATTATAGGATACATGTATAAATTCAATATATTTTTTTATGTATTACATTTTTTAGGTAGTAAGAAAGACTAACATTTTGGTAAAATGTCTATATATATATATATATATATATATATAGTAGAAAAAATTAAAATTTTGGGGGGGACAATAGCCTTTTATAATATATCTAAATCCGTCCATGCTCAAAGGTGTACACGTTTCTCGGTCCTCATGGATTTTAACCGTCCAATCAACACACAACCAATTTGATGATGGGAACGGTGTATATGTATTTTTTTCTTAATCCGTGTCCATATTCACATGTTATGAAAAAAAAAAAAAATGAGCAAAAAATAAAGTCAATGCACGTGTAAAAGTTATATTCTCCGTGAGACAAAATTACCCGTAAGGGGTAAAGTCCTCATAACCAGCCGTGTCATGGAAGTGGGTAAAATATACATATTACATAATCTCTGAAGCTAAAGAACAAGAGTTTTGCCGTTGGTTTTCTTTCAAGGCTTAGTCGGAAGTATACAATATCAAGAATTAACGGTACTTAATTGCTCATTCTTTGCACTGAAAACTATCTGCAGTACATATCAGACAGATGGGATTTGGCTTCTTCTGAATGCAGAACTTTGTCCTCTCATTAAATCAAATTACAACTTGAGACTTAATTAATCAGTATTGGTTCAGGGAAGGCTAAATTAATTTACTGTTAATGAAAAACTTGAACACTATTTTATATACTTTTTTTCTTTTTTATGGGAACAAGGTTTACATTCATTTATTGTTAGTCCATGAGCATACCCTTTGAGTGCATGTGCGCAGGAAAAAAAATGTTAATTTCTCACTGTATCAGTTTCTTATTTTCTGTAGAGTAATGTTATAGGTACATAATAATGTACATAGAGGTGTACATAACACTCACATTGAGTGGGTCCCATTTCATGTGAGTATTATGTACACCTCTATGTACATTTATTATGTACTTGTAGCATTTTTCTTTTCTGTAATGTAATAGCCCCCTGGTCTGAGCTTTGCGCATGACAAGGCCCATGTAATAATCTTCCTTATTAATTATATAGCAAATTCTTTAAACTAAACAGATATATCTTACTCATATCATTCACCAACCAACTAACTACAAATCACGAATTAAAATCGAAAAATGTAAAACACTGAAACCTCAGATGCCATGCCAAAAAAAACAGACGTCACGATCTATGTTTGCTATCATCATCCCTTGAGGAGTGGATGTGAACTCGACTTTGAAAAGGTATAAAACAACCACAATGTGTATTCCAAGAGAGCAAGTCCAAGAACAAAACCCCATAACTAGTCATAGAATTCATTTAGAAATGAAAAACATGCAATCGACAAAACAGAAACAATTCTTGGTTTTCAAGCCAAACAAGAAGAAAGAGACAACTCTTGGTGTAGCCTCGACAAAATTTACAGAGACCACACATACCACAATCCTGGTTAATCCCGCTTCACAACAATTACCATGATTGCCATGATAGCCAAACCCACAAAAGATGTTTCCATAGCAGCCTCAGCACTAGTATTCCTATCTGAACTTGGAAACACCTTTTCGACTGTCGAAGGTCCAAAAAAGTTCTGAAAGTAATCGGACATGTTGCTCATCATGTAGACCACCGTAAATTTGAGCTTTTGAACAATATCCGATAATGCAGTAACTGGCTTGGTTTCTCCACTCTCGGACGCAACATCAGTGATATCTACAGATGAGTTCTCGTCTGTGTTGGCAAAACCTGCATTAAAAATTCAAATAATAAAAAAAAAATTAGGGTGCTCGATTTGGAAACTGAGTTCATTACACTAAACCATGAGGGGACTATAAGATTCTTACAGGTCCTTTTTGGTTGCAAAATGTCCTGCATCGCTAGGTTGCTTACAATAGCATTCCACACAATTGGATCACTGGCGACTGAAGCCACCGCGTTCTGAAAATAGTTGAGATTCATTCTCTTATGTTAAAATCACATGTTATGTGGAACCAAAAAAATTTCACAACAAAACAAAGGGTAGTGGGTAGCTAATCTTTTTTTATGTCAGCATTATTTCTCTCCAATTACAGTCTTTTTGGTAATAAATTCGAATAATAAATGTTTCATTACACAAAATAGCTTTTACATGATACAAATAATAGATGAAAATGGAGCTACTTCATGTCCCTGTCAAGAAAGAAGGTCAAAACACTTTAATAATATTCTATATTTATTTAAAGTAGGCTAAAAACCTGGACTGCAGCGTTTTCACATAGAAGCCTGAAGGCCTTAATAGCATTGATTGGCACTGGTGCAATGCATAACTCACTGGTAGAGTTTGAGTTATCAATGAGCGATCGGGCACCAATTTCACCATCAAGTCCAGCTGAATTGAGTGGCGCCAGATAAGCACTGAAATTTTTCAGCAAGAAATGTGTAACATCATGTAGCAACATATTAGAATCCAAAGTACCAAATTAAAAAGAATCTTCACAATCAGGAATATACGGGCCTCCCTTTTGCATCATTTTCTTTCTATACTTGGTTAAGTATAACTTAATACAAGCATGGTCAAAAACAATTATGAACCAAAGAACATAGGTGCAGCTGCAAATGAAAACGAGGCCTAATGGCTAGTAGATTTCCATTTTGCATACCTCTACAGAAAAAATTACTTATCACAATGTTTTATTTTCGCAATGATGATATTAACAAGAACGATAGTAAAATTTAAGATCTGTCGCACTAGCTTTCTGTTATACGATGTTTTTTGTATTCATCTTACAATCAATCGCTTCTCACAAAACACTAATGATAAATTTTATAAACTTGATCAAATTCGATTATGATCAGTACTTAGAAACGCAAGCCATTGAATAACAAATTAACAATACACAAATAAAGATCAAGCTTTTTTTTATAATTGAAAACATACGAGTCAAGCGCCAATGCAAGTTCAGTAGTAGCCTCTTTGGCTTCTTCAAAAGTCGGCAACCCATATCGGACAGCCTTGGGCGTCAAATCACCGTCGGTAAACGCCGCCTCCTCCCCGCTAGGGAACACCCAGTCGTTCATCTCCGCCGCACCATGTGGCTGCGACGCTAACTGCTTTCCGTCCTCCGCTACCGCCGCCGGAGGAAGCGGGGAGGCCGTCCGTCGGGTGGAGGAGAAGACAGAGTGCTGCTCCGTCTTAATACTGCGGACGCCGCCGTTGCCCACCTTGATCCCCGCCAACTTCGCCGCCGCCCTCATTGCCCCGCCGCCCATGGTCTAGGGTTTGGTGATTGGGGGAAAATTTGGAATGAAGGGCGAGGGTGGATAGGGATCGACTTTTATTTCTCGCGATCAGCACAGATAAGTAAAGATTTGGCGCCGTATTTTTTGATACCATTTGTGAATCAAAGTTGGGATTTATTTATATATTTGTTTTTGAGGAGAGCGATAATTTCGGATTCGAAGCGATTGAGAATAGCAGGAGACGGACGCGTGTACATTTATTATGTTATGTTTAAGTTATTTAAATTGCTATTGCAAATAACATGTATCAATGAAAAGAATTTATCACACTTTTAGTTACAAAAGGAGAGAGAGTGTATTTGATAAAAAGAGGTGTAGAATTCGGAAACTCGGGAAATTGATTTGGATAGGTATCAAGAAGATTGCATTTCTAAATACATGGGATTGTTTTGTGTGGGGATATTTTATTTTCCATTAAAAAAAAAAAAAAAAAAAAATCGAAAATACATAAAGATCGGGCTATCGGGCCGCCGGCCGGGATACTCCATGTACCGTTTGATTAGATTTGTGTGGAAAACTTCAAAATCCCCTCTTAATATAATTTGAAAACGTGTTGAGCCTAAATGGCTGCTTCGCACGCTTCGGAAGCTTACTTGGCAATATTACATGCTTTGGCTTTTGGTTCGGATGCATTCCCTAATTGTTTAAAATAAGAAGCTTACTTGGCAATATTACATGCTTTGGCTTTTGGTTCGGATGCATTCCCTAATTGTTTAAAATAAAAATACATGCTTCGGCTTTTAGTTCGGATACATTCCCTAATTGTTTAAAATAAAATACATTTCCTCATTAAATAGGATTCTGAGATGCCGTGTAAATCCTCAACTCCAAATTCTTATCGTATAAAGAACATTACATCTTAAGATTCTTATCTTGTCGTGTAAATCAAAATAAAAAAAATTAGCTTTATATATTATTTTATTTATATAATTAATGTAAACAATAACTTTTTTATATAGTTTAATTTAAAAAAAAAAATACTATAATTTTAAAAAAAGTATATAGCCACTTGCATATTAATATTATATCTTTTCAATCTAACCATAAATAAATTATTTAAATATTTTTAGAATATCTATAAAAATACATTGAAATGGTTATAGAATATTATATGATCTTTCTAATATATTTTAAAAGATTGAAATAGTTATACAACAACATATGTGTTTTTTGTATTATTTTATGTTTTATATTTTTTTTAAACAACCCGTGTAATACACGGGTGTCGTACTAGTGCATATAAATTACTAGTATCACTCCTTCAATTGACGAACATATGTATTGAAATAGTTTAATTAAAATATTAATATATATATCACAAAAAAACATAAATGAAAATAAACAACATTGCTGCTTAATCTGAATGCGTAGTAAACATGCAATAATGTATTTTATTAAAAATTATAGAAAACTTGACAATATTTTTAGTCATCGTCACCACATATTAATATCTTCAATCCCGACTTAGTAACTTCAGAACAACATATATAATTGTCAATGACTAAACATGAGTCTTTTCAAGTAAAGTCCGACATGGAATAACGATCGCCCTTTACTCTTATTGATTGTCATTGCATAATAAACCATATAAAAAAATAATTAAAAAAAAAAATTGTCTACGCTGAAATTTGAAGGGTAACCTAAGATCAAATGAAGTTTGAAAAATTCTTGGTACTAATATCTTATGTCCAGCATTTGATCCTGTTAGAATCTTACATTCGAGCACATGAGTGGCAAGCTTCGTAATCACCAAAAGTGTTCCATTACACAATCTGATTGAATGGCCAATATTTCTCAAGTTGACATGAGTCTCAACATTTAACTGCAATTCATGATTTGGAACACCATAGCATTTTATACTATTTAAGAACTCCGGCGTGTGCAGGTCATATTTTTCGACGAATTTCCGGGGGTGTCGTTTCTATTAAAGTTTCGAGCTTTCCACTTCAATTTTTTTCGAGCATGTAATAAAATAGTGAGTACTTAGTTTTTAGATTCATTACTTCATATTTGTTCTATTTTTACTTATGAAGCTTTTCAAGGTAAAACTGGTGTCTTACATGAGAATTTAGGTAAAATTTCGATCTTTCTATTTTTTGTTTGCTTGTCTAAGGTGATTATGAGTTAATTACGTGCTTATCTTGTGTTAAGGACTGAAACTTTGTTTAAAGTTGGATCATTTAGGTCAGAAGGCTCGTTTTTAACATCCTAGGAACTTAGTACTCGCGTGTTTCGCTTGTTTTATTTTTGTTTTTTTTTTGAGTTGTGGAGACTCCTGCTAGCAAAGTTTTGATCTTTAGTTAAAGTCTATGCATTTAGTTAATTGTTTTCAATTTCCTAGGTAAAAAATAGCTTAAAATCAACCCCTCAATCTTGCTAGAATGTTTAGGACTTTGTTTTTTATTTTTGTGCTTTGACGACTAGTAAGTGAACGAAACTTCGAACAACCTTCCTCAAGAGACACGACCCGAGGTCGGGATTTATTCCGTACTCGGCTAAAAAACAACAAACAAATAGCAATATAAATGATATTAACGTGATTGAAATCAACTTATAATGAGAATATTGAAATAAATTAATATTGAAGATACTGAAATCTATCAAGAATATCATTGTTCAAATATACATTGATACAAAAGTATTGTAAGTTGGAACCTTGAAGATTTTATGAATATATTATTGTTATCTTGATTGAGGTCCTTGTCCCAAAGAGTTTTTCCTAATCAAATTATTTACATGAAAATTATGAATCAACTATTGTGAATTTTTTTTAAGACTGAAAGTTGCACGAAGCATGATATAATATATTATGAATACTATGAGTATCTGAAAACTTGAAAGAATAAATCTATATGATACTCGTATAAATTATGAAAATATTATTATAATGAATGAAATATATATGGAATATGCGTTGTATTCTTTTTCTCTTGAGTGAGGTTTTGTCCTTTTGGGTTTTCCCAACAAGATTTTTAATGAAGCAACATAGATGGCGTATTCACATGAATAGTGTAGTCTTTTTCTTTCATTGAGATTTGTTTTAATGGATTTTTCCTACTAAGGTTTTTAACGAGACATATTTATTGTATAATAAAGAATAAGTAAAAGTTGATATGGTTCCCCATAAAGATAAGAAAATGGAGTAGTTTTACTCCTTTTATTATTTTTTTTTTCCTTCGAGGTGATATATCTAGTTCAGCCAAGTTGCAACTATATCATATTACAATTTACAAAAATAAATAAATTATCATAGTATTTAGTAAAAAAAATTAAAGATAAAATGTTTGGTATATCTAATTGGATAATTGCATTCCTCACCACATAAATTTTATTTTTAGACACAAATGCTACACTAATTTTTGGGTACATATCTACACAACATTGCTACTTTTTTGCATCATTTTTTAATTACAACTGTCATATTTAAATATATAGTCTTAACAAGTCAAAATATTTTTTAAATATGGTAAAATTCTTAAATGATATTAGAGGGATATTTTGGTATGGAAATCTTTCAACCCAAATACACAAGTTTGGCAACCTAACCACATGGCTCATCATCCTTCTCTTTCATTCAAAGAGTCGTCCTCAAGACGGTCTCGACTGGTGTCGTCCCCGATCTTCACCCAACTCGGGTTCACCGCCCTAGATATCCGCCCAACGAGTCATACGGAAAAATTGCACGCACGCATGCTTGGAAAGGGAAACTTTTTCACGCGTTTTCTTTCAAAAATTGACGCATCTTCACAAAATTAATATCGTTGGTCTTCTTGCTTGCCACGCCGTAAAAAATGCAGCTCTTCGTATATTGTCGAAAGTCGCACAACTAGCAGTCGTACGCTCCTGCCGCAAGCAGCCCACCGCCGTCCGAACTGCTAACTTAGTCAGTTTGGACAGAGGCATCCGATGCATTTTGTGTTGATACTCAGGCACCGAATGAGTTTTTCGTCGACACGACTTTTATTTTTTAGTTTAATGTTTTTTCATAATTAGTTGAATAATATATGCAGTCAATCTGTAATCAGTTTATTACTATTTTTTTTTTCATCAACGACAACATCTCTTTATTTATATACCATTTATTTATAGTATATTGATACAAATGATCTTATTATTTTGTATACATTTTAATATTGTGATATTATGATATGCTTATTTTCGGTTTATGCATTAAAAATATCAGACATCTCTTGTTTTGAATCTTTGACTCATATTACTTGCACTAAAGAAAGTAAACAACAAACACTATTATTACAATTTATATGTTGCTTATTAACTCAATAATTGAAAAACGAATTCTCAAACGATATAATTGTTTAACTCTCGTTTATAATCTATATATCATAATTACTTTGTAAACATTTTGACTTTTATGTTATACAAAATGTTCTTTAATCGTTCTGAGAATCGACCACGAGGCGGGCAGGGGGTTGTCTCGGGCCCGATCTCCGCACAACTCGGGCTCGCCATAAATTTGAGCTTTTGAACAATATCCATTAATGCAATAACTGGCTTGGCTTCTCCACTCTCGGATGCAACATCATAGATATCTCCAGACAGGTTCTCGTCTGTGTTGGCAAAACCTGCATAAAAAATTCAAATAACAAAAAAATTAGGGTGCTCGAATTGAAAACTGCGTTCATTACACTAAACCATGAGGGGACTATAAGATTCTTACAGGTCCTTTTTGGTTGCAGGATGTCCTGCATCGCCCGGATGCTTACAATAGCATTCCACACATTTGGATCACTGGCGACTGAAGCCACCGCTTTCTGAAAATAATTGAGATTCTCTTATGTTAAAATCACAAAGGGTAATGGGTAGCTAATCTTTCATGTCAGCATTATTTCTCTCCAATTACAGTTTTTTGGTAACAAATTCTAATAATAAATATTTCATTACACAAAATAGCTTTTACATGATACAATAGAAGAAAATGGAGCTAATAATAGAAGAAAATGGAGCTACTTCATGTCACTGTCAAGAAAGATGGTCAAAAACACTTGAACCTGGGTTGCAGAGCTTTCACATAGAAGCCTGAAGGAGTTAATAGCATTGGATGGCACTGGAAGTGCAATGCCAAACTTATCGGCACCAAATTTACCTTCAAGTCCAGCCGAATCGAGTGGCGCCAGATAAGCACTGAAATTTTTCAGCCAAAAATGTGTAACATCATGTAGCAACACATTAGAATCCAAAGTACCAAATTAAAAAGAAGCTTCACAATCAGGAATATATGGGTCTCCCTTTTCCATCATTTTCGATAGATATCAAGAACAGAAACGTCAATTATGTCCATTATTAAATAAACTAAAAAGACAAGGAAAATATGAAGTAATTTAGATATATAAAAAGAATTAATTTTTAGTTCTATCCAATCATGAAATAGTAAACGGTATAGTTTGCCAAAGGGATAAAAAAGTAGTATAATAAATAAGTAAATATTCTTGGAACGGTGAAGAAGATGATTTTCCATTGACGGGGTCTTAACAAACTTCCAAAAAAATGTCGGAGCCGCAAACTACGAAACATTGAAATCGGTGGGGATTGGATCAAATAACTTTTTAATTTGTATTTACAATCAAGATTTATTTTATCAAAATTAGATATAAATTTTACTCATACACTTAATGACTTAAAAATAAAATTATCATTAATATTATTATTATATATTTTTATAAATAACAATATATCATCAATATTTATTTTCTAAGCCATTACTATTTAATTAATTTTATATCATATCAACTTATAATATATATATATATATATATATATTTTTATTACTTATTCATTTAAAATATTAAATCTTTCTTATTGTTTTAAAAACAATTTTTTTTTTACTTTTTATGTTAATATTTTAGAATGACACAACATTCTTCAAAAAAATATTATATCCAACACAAATGTCGTTGTTATCGTTCAATAAATATTACTTTCTTAACAAAATATATATTTATGTTATATTATCAATTTATTTATACTATATTAAATTATAATAATTAAATATAAAATTTGTATTAAAATATAGTATGACTCATAATACGGGTATAAACGAGCTGAATGGAGCTAAGGCTCGAACCTTTCTCAAGTTGAGCTGATAAACGAGCTCGAACTTTAATTATTTATTAATACGAACTAATCGAGCATGAGCTGAAACAAATTATAAAATATTATGGTGTGTATATATTTATATATATTTTAATTTTTAATCCTTTACGTAGTGTTTGGTTCAAGGGAATCGGAGGGGAGGGGAAGGGAGGTGAGGGAAACTTTTAATTTTCTTCTGTTTGGTTCACTCTTTTGTGGAGGGGAGGGGATGAGATTTTCCCCTCTAATTCATGCGCAGAGGAAAATGGCTCCCCCTCCAATTTTGGGGGAATTTGGAGGGGAGAGAAAATATTAAGACACTCAATTACAATTTTATCCTTGTCATATATAATATTTTAATTTTTATTTTAACATCATTAAGGATATATTTGTCATTCTAACATTATTTTTCCTCTCCTTTCATTATCTAACCAAACAAGGTTTGCCATTTTCCCTTCATTCCCCTCCAACAAAATCCTTCCAAACAAGGTAAAATGATTTTAAATCACCTCCCCTCCCCTTCCCTCCCCTCCATTAAAATTCCTCCCCTCCCTTTCCCTCCGTCGAACCAAACATAGCCTTAACAAACTGGAACTCAAACATAACTTTACGAATAACATACAATAAAACTCAACAAAATAAGTCATCCATATAGTGGCAAGTGCAACATTTGAACCCAAAATTTGGAGTTTTTTCGGCTCATGAGAAAGACTTTATTTTGTGTTATTATTCTCTCTTAGGGAAATTTGTATGAGCTTTTAATTTTTTTTTTATTTTTTTTTTGTTTGTTTGTTCGGTTTTAGGCTAACTGCTGGCTTCCAACTAAATTCACTTAAATAATTGATATAATCAGTTTTTTAGTTGCTTTATNAATCCTTCACCTACGTTATTTAAGTGAATGAATCGAGTGACTCGCGAGCGCTCGAGTCAAAGCTCGACTCGAGCTCGAGTTTGACCGAACTCGACTCAAGTTCGAGCACGAACTCAAGCCCATATTTTACATGGTTAAACAGTTCGAGATACATGTTAAATTACTAAAATACCCCTTATATATTAGCATAAATGTTTAAACTTTTCTACTTAAAAATTTTCGAGCCTAGTTCGAGCATTTTGATTTCGAGTCGAGCTCGAGCTATTGTAATTTTTTATCGAGTCAAGCTCAAACATCATAAATCGAGCTCGAACTGAAGCTCGAACAGCTAAAAAAAAATTCAATCCTATTTAATAAATCTAATGCTCAATTTGGCTCAGCTGCAGGCACGGTTCACGGGAACCTTAAATAACAATTTTCATTCTATTAAATAATCAAAAAATTTGAATCATCACATTTGTCCCCACTCCCACGAATCAGTCGTGTGGTTGACGCGCAGTCCCAATTGCAGACACGAACCCTGCAAATCCTATTTGGGCCTTTTTGACGGGTCAAATTTCTCTTTACTATCGTTTATAGCTCCCCTATTTCACCCTTCCCTTCAACTCTCTTTCTCACATCTGGATTTTCTCTCTCCACCAGCTACCCTCTCATATCCTCACACCACCTATCTATTTCCCTGTAGGGCGGCGCGTGTGCTGCGCTCTCCTTCGTGAAATCGAACAAATAAACTGCAATGGGTCAAGCCGCATCCACCCACGGTGGCGGGTCGGGTCGTTTTCGAATCCCCAGCTTCGACCTCCACCACGCCCACCCCATGGCCGGTAATCCCCACGCGTCGGAGGTAAGCTGCGCTAAACAGCCGCAAATCGACTACACGTCCGAGATCCCCGACGAGTGCCTCGCCCTGATCTTCCAACCGTTGAGCTCCGGCGACCGGAAGCGCTGCTCGCTGGTATGCCGCCGCTGGCTCTCCGTGGAAGGCCAGAGCCGCCAACGACTCGCGCTCAACGCGTCCGCGGAGGTCGTCGAGCACCTCCCCGCCGTCTTCACCCGGTTCGACTCCGTCACCAAGCTCGCCCTCCGCTGCGACCGCAAGTCCGTTAGCATAAACGACGACGCCCTCAACCTGATCTCCCTGCGCTGCCGCAACCTCACACGCCTCAAGCTCCGCGGCTGCCGAGAGATCTCCGACCTAGGTATGCTTGCCCTCGCCACCAACTGCAAATATCTGCGCAAGTTCTCCTGCGGATCGTGTATGTTCGGCGCCAAAGGCATGAACGCGCTTCTGGAAAACTGCTCCTCCCTGGAGGAGCTCTCCATCAAGCGGCTTCGGGGTCTCAACGACGGGTATGCAGCCGAGTTGATCGGCCCCGGGGTGGCGGCTTCGTCTCTAAAATCAATCACACTTAAGGAGCTCTACAACGGTCAGTGCTTTGGGCCTCTAATTATTGGATCCAAAAATTTGAAATCCCTGAAGATTCTGAGGTGTTTAGGGGATTGGGATCGATTGCTCGAGACCATCACCAGGGGTAAAAGCTCTCTGACCGAGATTCATCTGGAGAGGCTGCAGGTGAGCGATGCCGGCCTAATCTCAATTTCAAAGTGCCCAGATTTGGAGATCTTTCACTTGGTGAAGGCTCCCGACTGTTCAAACGATGGAATTATGGCCATTGCCGAGAACTGTAGGCTTTTGAGGAAGCTCCATATAGACGGGTGGAGAACAAACAGGATAGGTGATGAAGGTTTGGTTGCCATTGCCAAAAACAGCACGAATCTTGTTGAATTAGTGCTTATTGGTGTAAACCCTAGCTCGGTGAGCTTGATGGCTATGGCTTCCAACTGCCACAAGCTGGAGAGGTTAGCTCTTTGCGGGAGCGAATCCATTGGGGACCCTGAGATCGTGTGTATTGCGGCTAAATGTAGCGCGCTAAAGAAGCTTTGTATAAAGGGTTGTCGTGTGACGGATTCCGGGATCGAGGCTTTCGCATTCGGGTGCCCTAATCTGGTGAAGATCAAGGTCAAGAAGTGTAGGGGAGTTACTAGTGAGGTTGCCGAATGGCTTAGGGCAAGGAGGGTGACTTTGTCCGTGAATTTGGATGCGGACGAGATAGAGCCCGAGGCCCTGGATGCCAGCACGAGCGACGGGGGTGTACAGGAATACGGCATTGAGTTCCCAGCTGTGGTGAGTGGGCCTGTCAATGTGGATGCTCCATCGACGAGTAATGGGGCCCGTTTGCCTAATAAGTCGAGGTTTAGCATGTTCGCCGGGACTCTTGTGGCCTGTGCCTTTCGGAGGCTGTCGGGCAGTAACGGTATTCGAACAGTAGCTTGTGAATGGGGAAAAAGAAGAAATGTGGGTTAAAGGTCGGTAAAAATAGTGTTGACCCACTTGTTAGGGTTTCTTTGTGTTTCTGTCCTTGTGTGTGCCGTGATTTGGGTACACTATGTTTTGTACGTGTTGTTATTGTGTTGGTTGGGTTTATGGGTGCTGTTGTATGTAAACTGGCGGCCACTTAAAAAACGTGCACATTAAGGTCCCTTTCTTTTTATGACACCATGTGATGATTTCTGCTCTGTTTCTCTTTGTTTTTTAGATAATTTGCCTTCTTTCTATGTGTGCTGAGTTGATTCTTTGAGTTATTGGGAGTGAGTTAATGTTGTCTGGTGTGATGCCTTGTTTATTTCTTGAAGGTGTGGGTGATTTTCTTTTCTTTAATTCTTTGGCTTACTATTTTCTATCACCTCCCTAACTGTTGATACTATTAGATTGGCAAACTTGTTTGAGAGGAGAAATTTATTGTGCTTGATTCTATTTCACCCGAAGGCTTACAGGAAATTTCATGTTGTAGATACTTGTGCTAATAGTTATATTTTTCGAATTTCCTGAATTTTCTACTAGTCTGCTGACAGAAAGCGGTTACTGGTTTTTCAGTTATGTACTTATTGTATTTGGTGTGACAGCAATATGTGGGTCATATTATTTGAATAGTAGAGATTTCAATAGTTATTCTGCCACATATTCTGTGATTGGATTGTTTGTTGATCTAAGTGATTCACATAATCCCATTGACTTTGAACCAGTCAGTCGAGGCTTCACTTAAGCTGGTCCTCTATGGAATTTTCTTAAAGCAAAATTATATAATGGACTATTCACAAAGAAGACCGTGAAATGTTTTTACAGTTACATAAGCATCCGTTTAGGTGGTTTTATTCCGTCTTACACTTGACCTGAGAGGAATTGGCTGTAATTATTACAATTGCATTCCTCAAATCTTTAGATGGTCTTTTTTTAAT